TTAGAAGGCATGATTCTGTAGGTTCAAAATTCTAAAAACACGTACTGGTAAACAATTAGAATTAATAGGTAAATTTAGCAGGTTGCCTGATATAAGGGCAGTATGGGGAAACCAGTTTTTTATTGGCAACAAATAAAGTTTATCTTTATTTGTACAAATTTATGATGTACGTGAGAAAATTAGTTACATGTGTATAATAACTAGTGATCAAATCAGGGTATTTAGGGTGTCCTTCACCCTAGTACAATACATTTTTGTTAAGTATAGTCACCCTGCTCTGCTATCCAACATTGAATTTATTCCTTCTATCTTACTGTATGTGTAAGATACATATACGTGCATGTTTGTATTTTTAACCCAGTTCCCTTCATCCTTCCGTGCTCCCCTCCCCATCCTTCTCAGTCTCTGTTATCTATCTTTCCACTCTCTACTTCCATGTGATCAAATTTTTTAGCTTCCATATATAAATAAGGACATATGATATTTGTCATTTTGTCCCTGGCTTATTTCATTTAATATAATGACCTCCAGTTTCATCCATGTTGCTACAAAACACATGATTTCATTCTTTTTTTTTTTTTTGAGATGGAGTTTCGCTCTTGTTACCCAGGCTGGAGTGCAATGATGTGATCTCGGCTCACTGCAACCTTCGCCTCCTGGGTTCAGGCAATTCTCCTGTCTCAGTCTCCTGAGTAGCTGGGATTACAGGCACACGCCACCATGCCCAGCTAATTTTTTGTACTTTTAGTAGAGATGGGGTTTCACCATGTTGACCAGGATGGTCTCGATCTCTTGACCTCGTGATCCACCCGCCTTGGCCTCCCAAAGTACTGGGATTACAGGCTTGAGCCACCGCGCCCAGCCCCGATTTCATTCTTTGTAATGGCTGAATAGTATTCCCTTGTTTATATATACCATATTTATTAATTTGTCCATTGACGAGTACTTAGGCTCATTCCATATCTTGCTATTGTAGATAGTGCTACAATAAACATGTGAGCGCAGGTATTACTTTGATATATTGGCTTATTTTCCTTGGGGTAGATAGGCAGTAGTAGCATGGCTGGATCAAACGGTAATCTATTTTTCGATTTTTGAGAAATCTCCACACTGTTTTCCGTCGTGGCTGTACTAGTTAAAATTCCCGTCAGCGGTGTATAAGTATTCCCTTTTCTCTGCATCTTCTCCAGCATCTGTTGTCTTTTGTCTTTTTAAAAATAGCCATTATGGCTTGGATAAGGTGATACCTCATTGTGGTTTTGATTTGCATCTCTCTGATGATTGGTGATGTTGAACATATTTTTATATACCTGTTGGCCATTCATCTTTTGAGGAATGTCTATTCATGTCCTTTGCCCACTTTAAATGGGATTGGTTTTTACCTGTTGAGTTGTTGAGTCCTTGTATATTCTGGATATTAGTCCTCTGTTGGATGAATAGCTTGTAAATATTTTCTCCCCTTCAACAGGTTGTCTCTTAATAAAGTTGAATTTTAAGGTAACATGTACAGTTTAAAATACTTAGGAATAAACCTAATAAGAATTGTGCTTTTCTATACAGAAAATTGTAAAACATTACTGGGTAAAACTGAAGAAGACTTAATGAGTTAATGGATCTAGGCTGAAAGTCTAGAGGCTGAAGATGGAGGAGGAGGAGAAGGTCACTAATGTCTTTCTCTGAAGGACCAGATAGTAAATATTTTTAGCTTTGTGCGCCCTTAGTCTCTTTTGAAATGAGTAAATCTTGTTGATTTGGGTGTAAAAGCAGCCCTAGATATTAATAATTGGGTATGAAAGTAGCCATAGACATAAATGAATGGTTGTGACTGTGTTCCAGTAAAGCACTATTTACAAAAAAATAGATGATGAGGTAGATTTAGCCATCTAAACCTAAGTGTAGCCTAACTTAGTTTATAAGTTTGTCCATCACTGGTTGTAGGCATTGGCTTTAATGTCTACCAGCATCACAAAAAAGGAGCAACTAGATATTTGCATCCGTTTAGAGTGAGTGTATGTCACCATCTTTGAAGTGGTCTAAACCAAAACTTACAAGATAGGAAAGATGGAGAACTTCTAGGTTAAAAGACATTTAAGAGATAAATCAGTCTACTGCAATATACGGACTTTACTTGGATCCTGATTCAAACAATATATTAAAAATGAGACGGGAAAATTTGAATATTGACTGGATATTCGATATTAATTAATTAGGGTTAGTATTTTAGGTGATAGGATGGTATTGTGGTTATGTTTGAGTGCTTGTTTCTGAAGAAAATATTCTGAAATGTTTGTGGATGGAATGTCATATATATAGGATTTGTTTCTTATGCATTAAGAACTGTGATTTCATTTGTTATATTTATCTACTTCTCTGTCTTCATCATTATCTGTTCTCACTCAGACTCCAGGATCTGTCTAATTTATCTACTAAGTGTAGGTACTCAGTAAATGCTTTTAAAATGAATGAAGCTACTGCCTGAAAAAGACTAAGTCAATCTGTTAGATCTGTTATTATGAAATTGTTTATACAGTACCAGATTTTTTTAGAAATTACTTTTCCCATTTCAGGGAGGAAGGCACTTGGAATGAAGTCACGTTTCTGTGAAACTTTTCATACATAGACAGATACAAAGAGTAGACTACATTAGCTTTATTTAATACATTTAATGGCCTTGTAAAAAATGCCCTCAATATTCATGGCAAAAAAATGAACAAATAAAATTATTTATTTTAATCCTTTATAAACTTATATTTAGCTTAAATACTTAGTAAAGAGACTTAAAAGAGACTTTGCCTTCATTATGGTTATAAATTAATGAATATTTTTACATATCCGTAACTCTTAAATTTTGGACAAGTAGCCAGATTTCATCATGTACTCACTTTTTATTTATGGTAATATAACAGTGTTATATTTCACTTAAAGTAAACATTATAACTATCATCTATAATTCTGAAACATAACTATGATTTATGAATATCTACCTTCTAATCTTATTTCAAATGTGTATTTTAATAGTTATAATAGTCAGGTAAATAAAAGTATACTTTTTTATAAGCTTGTTTCTTCTTCTTAGTCTTCATGACCACCATTTTCAATGCATATATTTTTAATGAAGGCAGGAAGGAAATTTTATGTCAATGAATATAACGGAGATTATATAAGCAAATAATCTACATGTGACCATTATAACTGATTCATAACTGTGCTAATTATTTTTCTTTTTATGGTACTGTTATTTTCAAGCTTTATTAGTACATATAGTATGACCTTTTCAAATAAAAATAGTTTGACAACAAGCTCACATTTTTCAAAAGGGACACCTTGTTAATACACTACTTTTAGAATTAGTAAAGTAAGTATAAATATAGTAGTAGTAGTATTTTGAGTAGTGATGATTAAAGTTTTAGCAATGTAAAATGTAGGAGAAGAAAAAAATGATGAGAAAAATTTTGAATCCCAGTAGTGTAGGTTTTGAAATAATCTTGATACTTTGTTTTCATAGATCTCACAATGACTCTAACAGTTAAATCACCAGATGCTTTCCAGGAAAATATCTACAGTATTAAGAAAATTTACTTTCATTTTTAAAAAACTATACTTATTTAGAAAGTATGTACCTCAATATAAATCATGAGGGATTTATTTTATTGTTATTTGATCATACTTCTCCCTTTTCCAGCTTTGTGTTGGTCATTCCATTTTTTTTTCTTCCATAAAAATGAGGTCTGCAGTTTATCTTAGTTTTAGTAACTACCAGTGATTAGTAGCCACTTTAATGTAGTTTTTTAAAAAATTTTACTCACATATTGAGCCCTGGTGCAGAAATTACTGACTGATAAGAATATTTGATTCCTTGTTTCTCTCCTTAAATATAACTACAAGTAACCTTATAAAATTAAATGTTAATACATTTGTAACCATGAAGTACATACTAGATGAACTGCATTTGAAATTTTTCCATGCAGTGAAAGATAAGTTTGTAAAGTCTCTTTCTGAATTGATGTAAGCTTGTGAGTACATCCAACGGTCATTTGGAGCCTCCCTTTTGCCATATTTGTCTGATGGATCACGTATCAGGCCTATTACTATTTTCAGAAACAGTATTCATGACTGAAATCCTACAGTTAACCTTTAGAAGATCAAAAGGAAATATACTTATTTAAAAGGTGACCTTAATGTATACATATTTCCTTTTTATGCTTTATGGGTTGCATGTTTAACAGCTTTCTTTTCATTGTTACATAGAATTACTAAATATGTAAAGGTCAAAGTCATTGTAGGGTGAAACTAACATATCAGTTACCTAGTCAAAGCTGAATATTTTGGCAACAGTAATTTGAAGTTATCATTTTAATAGATTTATTTTAACCTAACAGTGATGTTTATACAATTTCATCTAATAAAATTTGATATAAAATCCTAAAATGAACTACATTAAAGTAGCTACAAACCACTAGTAGTTACTAAAACTAAGGTAAACTGCAGTCCTCATTTTTATGGAAGAAAAAGAAAATGGAATGACCAACACAAAACTAGAAAAGTGATAAGTATGGTCATCGAATGAAATTGTATAATCAACTTTTTAAAGGTTTTTCTGCTTGGGATCACTAATAAAATCCAAAAAGTATATTTGTATCTTCAATCAGAACTGTATTTGTTTGTATTATAATGTATAAAACTTTCCCATTATAAATACTGAATATATTATTTATGGTGTACCAGTGTATCTTCATAGAGCAATAGAATGCCTTTCCAAACTTTCACTTAATATTTTAAAATCATGATTCTTTCTTTCTTTTAAATATTACAATTTCCAAAAAGGTTCCTTGCTTTTGAGGTTTCAACTATCCAATGTCTTTTTTTATATATTGACAGGCTTTAATAGTGACTGTTTTTTCATTGGAGATCTGCAATTTTCTAAAGTCTCTTTAAATATATTGTTGTTAGAGTGAAAATATATTGATATAGGTGACATCAATTTGTTTTGTTTATTTCAGGTGGTTGAACAGGGTATGTTTGTAAAGCACTGCAAAGTAGAAGTATATCTCACAGAATTGAAGCTATGTGAAAATGGAAACATGAACAATGTTGTAACTCGAAGATTTAGCAAAGCTGACACAATAGGTAATGCAAGATCCTGTCTCTTTTTTAAACCATTGCTATTAGATATTTAGTTAGAATTATCTTTATTATATGCTAGTAGGATGATAACCATTTTAAGGATTTATACATAGACATTTGATTTCCAGCTTTGATGCAGTGTCTTAGAGTTAAATTACTTATTATTTCTTCTATACTTTTGCATTTATTAACTGAATTTTAACATTTGTGCCATTTTGCCTTTTCAAAAAACATCAAATAATTATTGTTTTAATTTAGTAGATGAAAAATGTGTGTCAGTTTGTAACATAGAGCTTTAGATAAAAGCCCACTTAAAACTTGGTAAGATAGCATGAAAAATGACAATTTCCTTTTTTCTCCCAGCTTATTCCTTTGAACTCTAAATACAGTTAAGTAGCTAAGGCAGCAGGCTTAGCATTATTTTGACACATTGATTTTTCAAATTAATAAGTAGTGTAAGCAGTTTAAGTCTCAAATATAAGTGGACCTAATTCTCTCTATAGATAAAAATACATATAATTGTTTTCTTTCTATTTAAAAGTCATATTTTTAATTTTAAAGAATATATTTTAAAAATGCTTTTTAAAATGATTATGAATTTAATAAAAACGTATGTACTTTTTGTTTCATAAAACAACTCAAAAAATCTTAAAGTATTTAATTTCAAATGAAGTTGTAAAGATTAATGGTAATAACACTGATCTTGGAAAATACAAATGAACAGTGAAGAGCAACACATAACATGTAGAACCCAGCATGGAAGAGAGATTAGCAAATTTGTGAATTATAGCACAGCATAAGATTTCCTTGTTGGAACTAGTCATTAAAGTAAATGAAAGTATTTTTGAATTTCATTAAGTACTTTTGCCTTTCTTTCGCCACTTATCCACTTCACAGCAGGAAGATACTTGTAACCCATATTTTTTATGAAATAGTAGCATTATTCAAGTACTCAGTGCTTGGTTAATCCTAATGTTTGCACCAAATAAAATACAGCATTATGTTATGAATCTTCATTCTCCTCTCTTTATATAGCTAGAACATTTATAAGTTCAAGATTAAGTTTCAGTAAGCTTATAGTTGACTGGTCAAGATTATGTTTCGATAAGCTTATAGCTAGAACATTTATAAGTTCAAGATTAAGTTTCAGTAAGCTTATAGTGGCTCACACCTGTAATCCCAGCACTTTAGGAGGCCGAGGTGGGTGGATCACTTGAAGTCAACAGTTCGATACCAACCTTGCTAACATGGCGAAGCCCCATCTCTAAAGCACAGAAATTAGCCAGGCGTGATGGGCATGCGCCTATAGTCCCAGCTACTTGGGAGGCTGATGCAGAAAAATTGCTTGAACCTGGGTGGTGGAGGTTGCAGTGGGCCCAGACCGTGCCACTGTATTCCAGCCTGGGCAACAGAGCTAGACTTCATTTCAAAAAAAAAAAAATACTCACATGGATGAACCTGGAGAACATCATTCTCAGCAAGCTGACACAACAGAAAATGAAATACCACATGTTCTCACTCATAGGCGGGTGATGAACAATGAAAACACATGGACACAGGGAGGGGAGCACTACACACTGGGGTCGGTTGAGGGGAATAGGGGAGGGACAGCAGTGGGGGGAGTTGGGGAGAGATAGCATGGGGAGAAATGCCAGATATAGGTGAAGGGGAGGAAGGCAGCAAATCACACTGCCACGTGTGTACCTATGCAACTATCTTGCATATTCTTCACATGTACCCCAAAACCTAAAATGCAATTAAAAAAAACAACTCAGAGTCATATTTCTAAAATTAATGCTTAAAATATAAGGATTTTCATATATAAATGTTATAATTATTATAGTTAAAATGCTTGACTTGAATTTCCAGATTTGTGGAATATATTCAGAAAAATAAGATATTTCTATATATTAAAAACAAAGTTTTCAACATAAGAAAATTATTTTAATCATATGAGTATGTACATGAGGAGTGTCTATAAATCTAACAAGGATAGTCTGTTAAAATTAATTCAGAGAGTTGTCTCTGAAATTTATAGACAGTTGGAATATAAATGAGAAGTTATCTCTTAGAATAATATTTTCTAGTTATTTTTAAAGTTTGGTATTTTCTCTCCTCCTACCTCATTTTAATAGGAAAATTAAATATAAATATGAGACCATCAGAGATCTAACTTTAGAACTCTATTATACTAAATATTTTGAAACTCAGGAAAATCAGCAACTGGTTTAATTTCTGAATTCAAAACAAGCATTATGGGTTCTCATGATAAGAACTGTGTAAGAATTTGTCACAGAGATAATTTATAAAGGATCACTGCTTCAAAAAGTTAATGATCTAGCATAGATTTTAATCAACATAGCTTAATATACTAATACTTTAAAATGCTAGATAAATTGAATATATACTTTAACATTATATATAAACCCAATTTTTGCATATCTATAATTTCTTACTTATTAGATCACTGTTTTTCGAGTGGATTGTTGCTATTTTGGTGGTTCATTAAACAGTTTTGAGGGTAAAGATAATTAAATGGGAAATATTAGAATACAAAATATCAACATATACGTGTAAGTCCCAAGTCACAATTTCTTACTGTAGCTCTTAGTTTAAAAAGTTTGAAAGTCTATATTAGAATGAGTATTATTTTTAAGCAAAAAAGGTTTGCAAAAATTATAATCAGTCAAGTCAGGAAATTTAGACACTTCATAGTAATGGTTATCATACAGTCAAGGTTAACAGTTACTGAATATTTACTATGTTTTAAACACTTTACAGGAATTTTCTTGTTTGAAATTTAACAACCAAGTGTCTTCATCTTATAGATAATGAAGCTGAGATTTAGAATCTACCTCAATTCACCCTGGTACCAAGTGGTAGAGCTAGTACTTTAACTTCATAAGCAGAGCTTTTAAACTGTAGTCCCGTCTCTCAGTCGCTGCCTTACACAGTCTATGTATGCTAAAGGAATATTCATTTTGGAGATATTAATTGGGCTGATTTTGTTTTTCTAAAGAAAGTAGGTTTTTAAACAGAATTTACACGAGAAACTTAAGATGGATATATATTTTTCCCTTATGGTCTTTTAAGTAATCTTGATTGATTAAAATAGCCATGTACGTGAAATACAGCAATATAAATTTTATAAACAGAATTAGGAAATATTAGTGCCTGTTTTCTCTTGTTAACGAATTAATAAAATATTCTGTTTTCAGCTAGTGCTGCCTACATTGATATTAAAAATGATAGCAGGCCATAGGCTATATCTAAATGATTTACCTATCAGGGCCAAAATTTTCTGCCTTCAAACATTTTTCTGCCAAAATTCATATATTTGAGCATTGAGTATGTTCGATTTCGATGAAATAATGGTTTTATTTTCTGTTAATGTTAACTACTAAAAGCACAGAACTTATTGAAAAATACAATGATTTCATATCTGTGACCTGTATTAATATTTTTTAATTCTAATTTTTGTGAGCAACCTGTATTATTTTTCCACCTCTGTATGCTTTTCATTAACTGTCTGATACAACTGAATTAATATGTGGAAAAATAAGTACATGCTGTCAGTCCTTTGACCATTCTCAGCTTCAGTGATCTTAACCTGTACCCAGGTCAATCACCAATTTTCATAGTTAAACCCTAGATTGTCATTATCTGTGACTGCACTTACCAGATCTCAAATTTAGCATCCTTTGTTCTGGCCACCACTTTCTCTGCTCCGATTTTCTCTTGAGCCTGCTACATTTGACAATGAAACCCACCTCTCCATTGATACTGCTTCTGTGATAGTCTCTCATGACCTCCCCCATTGCCAAATACAGTGGTAATACAGAAATCTCCCATTTTCCTAACCTGCTAGCAAAGTTCAACACAGATAAACTAGTTTTCCATCTAGAAGCACTTTCTCCTCACACGGCTTCTGGGGCACAGTTTCTCATTGGCTGCATCTTGTTGGAGTCTTTTGTAAAACCCTCTTTGTATTCTTTGTCTCAAAATATCAGTGTCTCCATATTCTCCCAATCCTCCTTTCTTTGGTGATTTGATTTCCTGGCTTTAAATGTTTTCCTCATGTTGAAAATCTTTTAAGTTTATCAGTCCTGCCCTAAAGTCTCCCATAATTCCAGTTTCAACTATCCCATATCTTCATTTGTATATCTGACAGGCTTCTCAAGAAGATTATCATGTATAAAACTAAGCTCCCTTTCCCAAAAAAATCTAAGACTCTGTCATTCTTCCTTGTCTCCATAATGGCCACCTTTGGTCTTCCAATTGCTTAGGCAAAAAATCATTTCTGATTGCTTTATTGCTTATCCTTCATGTAATCTAGCAGCATTCTTAGCAATTCTTTCAGAATTTATTCTTGGTCAGACCATTTGTCACTGCTTCTATTGCTACCACTTTAGTTAGGATTGCTGCAATAGCCTAGTTTCCAACCTTCAACTTCATGTTAGTCCATTCTCACACTGCTATAGAGAACTACCAGACACCAAATAATTTATGAAGAAAGAGGTTTAATTGACTTAACAGTTCCACAAGCTCTACAGAAAACATAGATAGGAGGCCTAGAAAACTTAACAGTCATAGTAGAAGGCAAAGGGGAAGCAGACACATCTTGCCATGGCGTGGCAAGAGAGAGGGCAAAGGGGCAAGTGCTACACACTTTCAAGCAACCAGATCACGTGTGAACTCACTCACTATCACAGGAACAGCAAAGGGGAAATCTGCCCCCATTATCTACTTACCTCCTACCAGGTCCCTTCCCCAACACTGGGGATGACAATTCAACATGAGATTTTGGTGGGGACCCAGAGCCAAACCTTAACAGACCTTCTGCAGTGTTCTTCACCAGCAGCAAAAAGAACATTTAAAATGTCAGTTATATCATGCCACTTCCCTTCCCAACTCCTCAGTGGCTTCCTTTCTTGCTCAGATTAAAATATAAATATTTAATAGCTCACAGAAGTATATATAATCCACGGAAGTACCTTTATAGTCTCATTTCTACCTTACTTATTCTACTTCAGCCACATTGATATACTATGCTGTTCTAAAACATGCCAAGCACATAGGCACCTAAAGGTTTTTACGTTACTATCTCTATGGAAGTAATGTTCCCCATATGTAAATTAGATCTCAAAACTCAATAAAGAAGAAATTTTCACATTTGCTTATAATATATTATGTACACAGGTATCTGTATTAATAGAAAAAATATCCAGAAGAAGAAATATCAAAATATCAGCAGTGGTTGTATCTAGGTAAACAGTTTATATTTGTCAGTATTTTTGGTATTTTTGCCAAGAGAAAAAATTATTTCTACCCTTTGGAAAAATTTATTCATTTTTATAGAAAGACTAAAACAACTCCCTTCCTTGGCTTCTTCCTTTACCCCCCTTCCTGGGTAATGTTTTGTTTCTTGATCTCCGTGTGATTTACATGGGTATGTCCACTTTGGAAATTTATCACAAGATACTGATGATTAATGAATGTTTCTGTATATATGTTTACTTTAATAAAAAGAACAACACAAAAAAATACAACCTTGCCAAAATAGAAAGCAGTACTGGTATGGTTTGACTCTGTGTCCCCATCCAAATCTCGTGTCCCCCATGTGTTGGAGGAGGGGCCTGCTGGGAGGTGTTTGGATCATGGAAGCGGATTTCCCCCTTGCTGTTCTTGTGATAGTGAATGAGTTCTCGTGAGATATGGTTGTTTAAAAGTGTGTAGCATTTTCCGCTTCGCACTCTGTTTTGCTCCGCCATGATAAGATATGCTTTCTTCCCCTTCACCTTCCACCATGATTGTAAGTTTCCTGAGGCCTCCTAGCCATGCTTCCTGTACAACCCATGGAACTGTAAGTCAATTAAACCTTTTTTTCTTCATAAATTACCCAGTCTCCTGTAGTTCTTTATAGCAGTGTGAAAACAGACTAATTCAAGTACTAACAGTATATTTATTTTATGTAATTATTTAAATATTCTGGGTGATTTGCTTTAAGTTTTGAGATAATGCTGTTGATATTTTGAATTAGTGCCTTTTTTTCTGATTTAATGCCCTTATCAAAACCTCACTGACTACAAGACTATTACAAAACATTATTTAAATTACTGTTTTCTTGAATTGGTTAGGCAAGTTATTGACCAGAACTAGATGGACATGATAGTATTACATAATATTTTTCTGATATTTAAAAATTTTAAAGATGTATTTAACTATAGGTACTGGAACTTAATTACGTCTGTACTCTCAAATGTGTAGACATTGTGTATCTTATTTTATACAGGTTAAGCTGCTAATATTAAGTAAATAAATAAAATTTCAGTAAATTGATTTAGAAATCAGGAAAAGACATGGATTTACCTTGAATATGCTAAATTTGGTGAATACAGACATCCCTTCAAACAAGGCACTTTCTTTTTTATTGTGTCCATATATTCTAATTAACTGTTCAATTTAAACTATTTTTAAGTTGCTTATTTTAGTACCTTAAAATTTTTCCATATGTAACTTCTCTTAACCATACTTTAATTCCTAGTTTCTACATCTCATAAAAAATATTTGAATTATATGTCAAAAGTTAAAGTTTATCCTATAGATGCACAAATTATATTTCATTTTTGGTAATTGAACCTCTTACCTTTTGAGGTTTTTAATTCCCCAAGTAATTTGTTGTAGTACAAATACCATTTTTTCCATAAAAACAGACTCGGTCTTAAAAACCCTTTCGTTGGTTTGTGTTTTATAGATTTATTACATATTTAGTCTTGATATTCTATTTGTATTTTAAATTTAGAATTTTTTTCTGGTAACATTTAGCTGTGTATGGTATATTTAGAAATATATATTATGTTCATATATTTTTTCTCCTTAAATCTAGATACAATTGAAAAGGAAATAAGAAAAATCTTCAATATTCCAGATGAAAAGGAAACCAGATTGTGGAACAAATACATGAGTAATACATTTGAACCACTGAATAAACCAGACAGCACCATTCAGGATGCTGGTTTATACCAAGGACAGGTATTGTTTATTTTAAGCATACTAATACATGAAGGTTTTTTGGATTCACGAACTTTAATTAATATCTTGTTGATATATAATGGGCTCTACTGTTCCTGCTTCCTCTTTCTAAATTCATCTCTTGTCTATCCCTGGTAGTTACTGACTGTGACTTCTAATTCCCTACTTGAGCTTAGGAATAATCTACTTGTTAAAAATAAATCATTTTTAATTAGGAAAAAAAAAGTCCCAGCTAATATTATAAGGTGGGTCAGCAAACTTTCTGTAAAAGACCAAATAGTAAATATTTATGGAGCATCTGTTATTTACACAGTTCACTGTTACAAGTTACAGTTCTCTGTAGGCCATAAAGTGGCATCCAAAATGGTGCCATTGTAGTACACAAAAACAAGCATAGATGCTATATCAATACATGAGTATGGCTGTGTTTTAATAAAACTATTTGTATAAATGTTCAGCAGGCTAAGTGAAATGTTGTTTTGCCAGCCCTTCTTGAAAGGTGTCAGCTCCCAATTTTGTTTTGTTTTGTTTTTTGAGACAAGTCTCACTCTGTCGCCCAGACCAAAGTACAATGGTAAGATCTTGGCTCACTGCAACCTCCGCCTCCCATTCTCCTGCCTCAGCCTCCCTAGCAGCTGGGACTACAGGCTCATGTCACCATGCCCAGCTAATTTTTGTATTTTTAGTAGAGATGTAGTTTTAGTAGAGATGGAGACCATTATCAGCCAGGATGGTCTCAATCTCTTGACCTCATGATCTTCCCACCCCAAAGTGCTGGGGTTACAGGCATACAACACTGCACCCGGCCAGTATTTTTTTTAATAGTATAATCCAAATAAATAAAAGTATTGAGAAAGGAAGAAGTTTAGTCAGTCAGCAAGTCCTACTGATTCTACCTTCTAACTATCTCTTGAAATAATCTCTCTGTTCCATTCTCAGCCCTTAACTTGCATAGTCTCTTCACAGATCCCTCTATCTCCAGGCTCTTGTACGTCTGCTCTTTTTTCCTTTGTTTTTTCGTTATTAGCAGATGGCAGTAGGACACTGTTGTTCTTGCCAGAATACTCATTCTAAAATGTAAACTTCACTGTCTTCCTTTTATAAACTTTTTTTAGTTCCTTAATAATTATCAAGTCCAGGCAGTTTAAGCCAGCATGCAAGTTATGGTTTAACCTCTTCTCTACTCTTCCACCATCTTCAGATTATCTTTTTTTTGTGGTTTATAATCAAGCGGTACCAAACTGAGCTGCTTATCGTTCGTTCCCTGAACACACTATGCTATCCAGTACTCTTGTGCTTTCCAGTGTGTTACTCCATCTGCCTGATGTACCTGTCCTTGCAATCCCTGTATTCATCCATTGAAAAGTCCTTTTAACCATCCACATACTCAAATTAACCGTCCCATACCATCATCTAGGCTAGCCATATCCTTTTCATCCTTCAGATTCTAGCTCAAATGTCCCGTCCTCTATCCAGCCTTCCCTATTTCTCTCAATATCCATTGAGGAATAAGATGTGTCTGCTTTGGAGGAAAAAAAAAAATGCTTCCTTAACTTCCGCAATGATTTATGTATATATGTTTTACATCATTCATTAGATGCTTTAGTTATTTGTATATTAATCTCCCAAGACTATGAGGTCCTTGTTTTGGTTAGACTTTGTACCCTGTTTGTATTTTCAGAACCTAACGGTACCTGGTACTCTGATATATGGAATATTTTTGTTGTTGTTGTTTTATTTAAAAATTACTGTTAACATCAATAATATGATTCTGAGTTGTGGAAAAATTCAGAGAAACTGAGGGAAATTAAATTTTAGTAAATGCCTACTGTATGTCAAGGATTTTACTAGGCTATCAAAATGCAGTGATTTTCATATTTATTTTAGTCATTATATTCTTAAGAGAAATCTTACAAAATCCAGTATGTATTACCGTTAAAAGGGAAATGAAGCTGATGGAAGCTTGAAGTATGAACCTTGGAAATCCACTGATTAGCCAAGACTGCCCTTTTAGTTAGCCAGCTCTCTCTTTCTGTCTTCCAGTAGACATAACCTCTCTCCTTGGTTTTCATTCATTAGGCCTTGAGGTAGCTCCAAAAGTACAATTTGAAATCTATAGAATTCTTTCTTTAAATCTTTACAGCAATCCTATGAAATTAATGTTACTCTTTTCATCATATACATTAGAAAACAGAGACTTAGAGAAGTTAAATAATTTGATCTTCATAGGTATGCATTTATCAGATGGCAGATGAGAGAATAATAAGATTAAATATTATTTTAAGGAACTGACCTCTTAAAACAGTAATGTTTCAAAGAATACTTATTAAATTTTTCAGACTTTATAATAATTCTTCAGCCAGAGAAGATAAATGAACTAAAAGATAGTAAATGAACCAAACACTCTCCTGGACCTCTTTTATCTAATACTTAAATTAGAAGTATCCTCATTAGAAAATGAAACAAAAACACACGATTGAAGAGTTTGCCTCCCAGTTGGGAGGCATTTCCTCTCTCCTTTTTTGTATGAGTTTAATTTTAATGTAGAATCTTTCCAAAGATATTTTTATTTTGAATTAAAGTTTTAACTGTAACAAAATTTTATTCAGAAAATGATGCACTTGAATAAAGGACTCAATTTTAATATTTCTGATGGCCTTCAGCATTATTATTTGTGGTTTTAACAACATGGAATGTTAAGTATAAATACTGTTAGAAATTAAGACATTAATTATATTGAATGCATAAGTTAGAAATCTTTGGTAGCTAAAATCTCGTTTTATAACTGATTTAAGTCCTACAAATGATTATAAAGTTTATATGTATATTTATGCATATAGTTTATCTGTAACTGTTGCTACGGTTATAAATTTCAGTAAAGGAAAGCATTCTTGAGAAGTTAAAAATCACTCACTAAATTTTACTCTGTAAATCTTTAAAATATATATATATATATATATAACTATAGAATGAAAACCAGAAAATTGAGACAATGATGACTCATTTATAGTAGGTAGGGAGAGGAATGTGATCAAGAAAGGATCAGTATAGTAGGTACATGATGCTCTATTCTTTATATGGTACAAATACAGTTTTTAATGTGTGAAATAATAGATTTTTAAAGCTAACTTTAATATTTTTATTAGCACCCTCTTAAGGTTTCATGAATTTTTTTAAAATCAACATTTTATTGTTTGTTACATGCACTCTGAAACATGCTTACATTTTACGTGGTTAGGATCTGAATGCCAATGTATAAATGGCCTGGAAATATACAGTTCACAAAAATATATTACTATGTCCATGTAGAGTAGGTTATGAAATTGCAACTTAAAAAGTTAATGAAACAGTAAATGAAATGTATTCAAATTCGTAATGCCTTGGATTTACTTCAAGTCATTTTGTCTGTATTACATGTTTTCACATGGAAATTGTAGATACTAACTTTTTATTGGTATTATCACATAGTTCCTTCGCTGATTTAATTATTTTTGCTAAGTTTTTCTTCATTGTTTTGCTAAATTTTACACAGATTAATCCATAACAAAAACTAAAAGAAAGACTTCTTTGTTAGACTGAAAGATATGAGGAAAGATTTTAGGGTGTTTTAAAATAAAGTATAGCTCTGCCTAAGCCTATACTTTTTGTTTGTTAGAGGTGATTTCTGTCAACTTCAACCATGCTGTAACAGAACTTCAGTCTTATTCTCATAAATGGGACTCTGTCATTTGTATATTTAAAGATTCTATAATTTCCATGTTGGTAATATAAATACACACTAATTTCAAAACCCCAAATGAATTCTACATAATCTGTAATTTAGAATTGTCTGTGTCACCTTTTGTCTGCATTTGCATAAAAATAAGTTAGCCAAGATTCTATGTCAGTACGTTTAACAACTACAAACATTTATTGAGCATCTGTTCTTTACACAGTTCTCTGTTATAAGCTGCAAATACAAATAGAAAATATATTCTCTAAATACAAGGAATTTATGTTCTGTGTACTTGGTTTAAGTTTTCTTATACTTAAAATCATGGAACCAGTGGTTTTCTTTACAGTTTATCTTCTAGGATTCCTTCTCACGATCATTACTGATTTCTTATTTGAGGTCTTTTAGTCTCCAGTGCCTAGCTTTGAAATGGTAATGCAGATTACCTGTTCACCTTGTCTACTGTTTCCTTTAAATAATCACAAAGTTACTTTAGTTTCTTAGTGTATTCAGCTAAGCTTCTAAAGTTATTTTAACTTCAGAGTTATGGAAAAACATCCTTTTATTGTGTCATGTTTGCAGGTATTAGTGATAGAACAGAAAAATGAAGATGGAACATGGCCAAGGGGTCCTTCTACTCCTAAGTAAGTGCTCCCACTTCTTATGGCATATTTTATGATTTTGAAGCCTTTGATGTTAGATAATCAAATCCGCAGTGATGGAAGAACCTAGTTGTATATTGCAAACATTCATGCCTTCTTTATATTTGAGTATTTTATTCTTAGTATACAAGCTACCTAAATTTGCTCTTAATTAATATGTTACTATTGTAAAACCTTCCAATTCAAATATCTTAAACTATGGTATAAACATATGGTATAAATGAGAAAGTTGCATTGTCTAATACAGTCAAATCATTAAATATTAATTTTTGAAGCATTTTTGTGCTTTTTAAAATTATCTTAAAATATTTCTTTATCAAAATGAATCTGATGTGAAAGTAATATTTATTTAAATGAAAGTTTTAAATAAAGAGAGAAACAGAAATAGAGGAGTAGATGAGATATTTTTGAGGGTAAATGAAAGAAGAATTAGGAATCTTTTTAGGTGTTTTAGAATTAAGAGATCCACACTCCATTATCAAAACATTTAAGGCCAGTTGTGTTTAAATATTCAGACTTCTCAAAGCTTTAGGAAGTAATACTGTACATGTCCCACCTGTTACTGTAATGTTTCTGTTTCTGCAAGAGGACACTTTATAATCAAACGCATTATTTCTTTAGCAAATACTCATACCAAGTGGGATAAATAAGGACTATAAATAGCATTTTATCAGTTCAAGTCAAGTTACCACCAAATGAACTGTGAAAAAATTTTTTAGGTTTTCAGAGTTTTGGAATTTCAGATGTTCTGATAAGGGATAGTGAACCTGTATTTTGAGATTCTTAAAATAATGATTTTTTTAGAATAAATTAATAACAGTGTAGTAAGTTTCAACCAAGCAAATAAAAAAAAAAAAATCTGCTACTTTATTTTATTTAAAACTACAATGCACTCTCCGGGCGTGATGGCACATGCCTGTAATCCCAGCACTTTGGGAGGCCGAGGCAGGTGAATCACGAGGTCAGGAGTTTGAGACCAACCTGGCCAACATGGTGAAACCCCATCTCTACTAAAAATACAAAAATTAGCCAGGAACTGTGATACATGCCTGTAATCCCAGCTAGTTGGGAGGCTGACATAAATAAATAACATAAAACTACATTGTCCCTTTTATAAGTGGTTTTCTATCCTTTTTATCTTATGTGAAGTTTTTTTTCATTTAAAAATATCATGAGAAGGCACATAAATATATTAATTACATGAAGGTGATTTTTATTCTTACTGTACTTTGTTGAATGTAGTACAAAGGTAGAACTTGGTATAAAAGTAGTACTTCTATTAAACTATTAATATTAAAAGCATGCGGGTTGAATTATATTTAGATTTTATAACTGGTGAAGGTTTGGAAGTTAGGAAATTTTTGTGAATATTTACTTTTAGTCTTTAAAACAGAACCACTGTTTCATAACATGTTCAGGTTGCTGTATACTTACTATGTCTTTAAATAATTTTTGAAATTACAAAATTGTTTATGGATTAATATTTAAAAACATGAGTTCTAAAGATTGAGAGATCCTTTTTACTTAAAAATGACTGATTTTTACTGGAAAGATAAGACTAATTTTATATTTTCTTTTATTACCTAATATAGCACAATACTATTTTTATTTCAACAACTGTAATACTTGTTTTGTGTAAAAGAAGACACAATTTCCAATATAATATCCAACACATCATACACATGCAATAAATATTGGTGAATGCAGTTGCTATGCTAGAGATGTACAAAAGTACAATTAAGAGTCTCATTTTTCGCTGGATCTACTAGTTTAATAAGGATGCCGTATATTAAAGCATAGAAAAGTTAAGTATCCATTCACTATAAAATGTAAGAAATGCTATACACCAGTATGTCATAAATTGCCAAATAATAATTTACTAGAATACAGAAAAAGATTTGCACCTGTGTATGAAAAGATTCTCAGAAAACTAAGAATAAGGGGAAAATTCTAACTTATGCCAAGTTTATAGCAAAAGTTATATTTCATTGAGAAATTTAGAGCACAATTTAAGAGTAGAAGAAATAAAATTCACTGTTTGTGTATGATACAGTCATTTGTATAAAATCCAAAACTCTCAGCAAACTACTAGAACTGAGAATATTCAGCAAGATTGTCTAATATAAGATTAATTTATAAAAGCAGTTGTTTTTTCTATACCGAGAGATCAGCAATCTCTTTTATAAAAGACCAGATAAATGTTTTCAGCTTTGTGGGCCGTATGGCCTCTGTCATAACTATAGCTGCTGATGTAGTATGAAAGCAGCCTTAGACATCATGGCAACATATGGCAATGCCTGTGTTCCAGTAAAACTTTATTTGTAAGTAGATAGCAAGCTTGGATTTGGCCTGTGAGCCACAGATTTCTAACCCCTGCTGTTTATCATGAGAAACCCACTTAGAAAATGGTCTAACAAAAATTAACGTAATTTAAAATACATAAAATCTTCATGAGAAAAAAATTTTAAGTTTATTAGAAAATAAAAGATTATCATCTACCGTATGGCTTACAGTACCTACTAATGCCTGTTTTCTCTTGAGCATATCAGTGCCGCTCAAAATTCTTTTGTCAAGAAACTTGACAAACTCGTTTTAAAGTTAGCATTGACCAGTATGGGTCCAGAATTAGCTGAGTCAGTGTCGACAAAAAAGAGAAAGGAGGGAACACTAGGTCTATAAGGTAATTGAGAGTTACTGTAAAATTAAACTAATAAAAACAATATAATGCTAGCAAAAGAAAGGCAAATATTGTTATAAACTAGTAATCTCAAAAAGATTCATGTATATTTGACAACTTGATATATGGTATGGCACAAGTAGGTAGTGAAGTTGCTTAAAGCAGATGATTACTTAGATTAAGTGGGAGTACTGGCTATTTTGAGAAAAAGAGAGCTAGATCTCTACCTTCTGCTTTGTATGCAAAGGCTAACTCTAGAAGGATTAGAGACCTGAATAAGCAATATAACACTTTAAAGTGATTAGGCCAGGCATGGTGGCTCACACCTGGAATCCCAGCACTTTGGGAGGCCAAGACAGGTGGGTCATTTGAGGTCAGGAGTTTGAAACCAGCCTGGTCAACATGGTGAAACTCTGCCTCTATTAAATATAAAAATTAGCTGGGTATGGTGGTGGGGGCCTGTAGTCCCAGCTACTCAAGAGGCTGAGGCAGGAAAATTGCTTGAAACCGGGAGGCGGAGGTTTCAGTGAGCCAAGATGGTGCCACTGCACTCTAGCCAGCGTAACAGAGCAAGACTCCATCTCTAAATGAATGAATGATGGATGAATGAATGAAGTGAATAATGGAAATTTTGGAGAATAGCTACATCATAGGGATCATAGAACATAATGTGAAAATTTAATGGATCTCATTAGATCAGAATTAAGGATTTTTGTTGATAGAACTATACACAGAGTTAAAAGTCAGATGTCAGCTTTGGAACTTTTAAAACCTAAAGGGAATAATACCTATAATATATCAAGAACTCCTATAACTTAACAAAAACAAAGAAAAATCGCTTTTAAAAAATAGATAAAAGATACGAACATACAATTTAAATAAAGGGTTGCCAAGTCCTTACAGTTAGATGAGAAGATAGACAAACTCACTAATAATCAGAAAAAATGAAAGTAAATGAATATAGTTTTTCACCCATCAAAATGACAAATATTTAAAAGTTTGCTGATGCCGAATATTGGGTATGGTGTAGACATGTGTACTTACAATACAAGTATAACCTAATACTATCATTCTGTAAATCAGTACGTAGTTAATTAAATCAGCTCTGACCCAGCACTCAGAGGAATCTTTATACAAATCTTTAAGGATATAATCTTTATAGCTCCATGGTTTGTCATAGTGGGAATTTGGAGATACCCTAGCTAAATATCCATCACTGGTAAATAGAGCACATAAGAGAAATGGGATGGTACTAACAATGGTGAGATCCTTAAAACTAGATGAAGCTTTAAAACATACAGCTGAGAGAGACAATGAAATTCAAAAATATTTAAGAACATACAAAAAGCACAGTAGAAGGAAAACAGAGTAGAGATAAGAGAAAGAAAAAGGAAACAAGTTTGAGGAAGTATCACTGCTAAATTTATTTATATTTCTATAGTTTAAGCTAGGATACAGATTCTTTTTTCTGGATGAATGCTGTCTTTAAAAAAAAACAAATGAGATCGGCCTCGGTGGCTCATGCCTGTAATCTGAACACTTTGAGAGGCTGAGATGGGTGGATCATTTGAGGTCAGGAATTCAAAAACAGCGTGGCCAACATGGTGAAACCCCATCTCTACCAAAAATACAAAAATTAGCCAGGTGTGGTAGCAGGCACCTATAGTCCCAGCTATTCAGGAGACTGAGGCAGGAGAATTGTTTGAACCCAGGAGGCAGAGGTTGCAGTAATCCGGGATTGTGCCACTGCACTCCAGCCTGGGTGTTAGAGTGAGAGTCTATCTCAAAAAAAAAAAAAAACAAAAAACACAAATGGAATGCCTCTGTATTCATTGAAAAGTACATTTTAGGCCTGGCAAAGTGGCTCACACCTCTAATCCTACCATTTTGGGAGGCTAAGGTGGGAGGATCACTTGATCCCAGGAGTTCAAGATGACTGTTCAGCATAGCAAGACCCTATCTCTACAAAAATATGTAAAAATTACCCAGGTGTGGTGGCATGCATCTATAGTCTCAGCTACTCCAGAAGCTGGGTGAGAGGATTGTGTGAGCCCAGGAGTTCAAGGCTGCAAAGAGCTATGATCACACCACTGCACTCCAGCCTGTGCGACAGAGTGAGAGACCCTGTCTCTCAAAAAGGGGAATAAGAAAGAAAAACCAGAAAAGCACATTATAAACACATAACATTAACTTAGGCAAATTTAACTCCAGCACAGGGCATGTAATTTTAGGTCCTTAGGAAGGACTTCAAGATATTAAGATATAGAGCAGTTTATATGCCTCAAAATTGTGATGTATTTGTCAG